ATGCAATCAAAAGGCAGACAAAAGGAGCTGTAACTGTGACCATGACCAGACACAGGTATTTTGCGACGAACCCAAAGCCGGACAGGTGCTGTCTCTGGCCTGACAGCCAAAGAAAACCGCGACCAAGGCGATGACGATGTCGTTTCTGGGACGGCGGTCAGTTGAAAGTTAATATCTGGTTGCCAGTTGGGTTGGGGGGCAACTGAAACTCAAGACTCAAGAGTGGAAGTTGAAGTGAAGGGTTCTTGGAATCTGGCGTTTTTTTTTTTGCTGTCTGTATAGTAGCTGGCCACACGCACAGTTTTGGAGGCTGGTGAAAGGTAAGTCCACGAATAAATTGGAATCAATACTGCCTTCGGAAACAGAGGGACCTCTCCCCATGTTGATAGTGGTCTAGGTGTATGTGTATGTGTGAGACACTAATCCCTGTTTTGGGCATCATTGCCTCAAAAGATTGCTGCTCATTTGCCGTGCCTAATTGGCCAATGTCAGCTTAATGTCCTCCCCTCAGCCTCAGCTACTGTTTCTGCTCCTTCTTCCGCTTCGCCACACTTCCGCCTGGGACGAGCACACACACACACACAAACACACACGCACGCATACACAGGAGGAGAGACAAGCCCTCTGTGGGCTTTGTGGGTGTGGCCAAAACTAATCGCATTGACCAAATGACCCAAAAAACAAGCGACAAAATCTGCAGCTGATTGCACACACCACACCCACACTCAGCCAGAGGTTATACTGGCAATTTTATATAAATTTCCCCTTGTCCAACACGAGCAAAATTACATGAAAATTCTCACATTTGAGTGTGAAAATAAGTCAAGAAAAATAGAAGGACGTGCCAGTTGTTTGTAGACAACAATTACAGCAACAGCAATTGGACACGTGTGCGGGGGATACAGATGTATTTATAAACGACAATTTTGTTTTCTCATGTAAATCCTCCCCCAAGGAAAGTCATCGTGGCTTAAAGCTCTTTGGTGCCCTGTAAGTTGTGGCTTGCTGGAGCTTAGCCTTATGGGGAACTGCCATGCAATGGCCAGCACGTGGCATTTTCGGACTCGACCTGCGCCTGATCCCAGGCTATTTCTGTATGGCCTCCTCTTGATAGCGGACCATTTTTGCTCTGCCTGCTTCTGATCCCTGTTCATCGTTGCTTCTCCCAATCGCATGCACTGCACGTTCTGCAACTAATCGCTCAAGTCTTTTTTATGCCTTGGGTGTTCGAGGCCCAAGGAGCAGTTTCGTGACCATGCTGCATTGTTTACATCTTCCCGACTCCGATTCCTTCCATAGCCAGGCATAACCACGCGTCGCCGCCACTTTCCTCAATCCGAGCAGCTTACAGATAGCCTCAGGACTTGCATTTTTGCCTCACTGGAAATTGATAAAAATGTTTGTCCAGAGCTGAGCGGCATGTAAGGATTCCAAATTGCTTAATTTAGGACAAGAGGAAAAGCAAAAACAGAGGAAGCAAATGGTTTATGATTATTAAGTGCTGAATATTCAAGAGAAATACATACATATATTGAGGGGGGAATGTCTTTGGCTCTTTTTACCCTTTCTTTTCCGTTAACGTTTATTTTGTTTTACTATTCATGCATTATTTTCTTCGAAAATATATACGAGCCAATCTGTTTTGATAAATTGCCTTAATATTAAACTTTTACACAACTTTTGGTGTGAGTTCAACAGTTGTCGGCTTTGTGAGTACCTAGACATGGCCCTGTCTGATGAATGCCATAATTTGACAGCTATGTATATCGAAACACTATCCGACACGCCTGAGAACCATAAATAAACCCTCTGGTCAAAAAATATACCATCGGTTAACCCTCTGGTAAAAATATCAAAAAATTGTTACATGAAATATTCGCAGGCTTTAAAATAATTTGGTGGCACATTAAACACCGACCGACAGCAAAATAAAATAACAAAAAAAAACAAATCTGCAGTCAGAAAAAAAAACGCATGTATTATATTGTAATATAACTTCTCGAGCGTAAATCTAATTTATCAATTTGTGCGAACCAAAAAAAAATAAAAATATGGCATGCCGTCCGAAATATTTTTTTGTTACGAACATTTTCGGGGCAAAAATTCGGTTGGCCAATAAATTGTATGTATATGACCTGCGATTCTTGCCGTTCATTGCCAGCTATATATACAGTATATATGTATGTGTGTTTGTGTATACATACGTGTGGTACATATAAAACGTGCCCCGGGCCTTGCAGTAATTGGCAATAAATGTGTTCATGAATTTTAATGCTGCCCCACGTCGGTCAGCGTCGAAAGGCGCAAATCGACCACGCCCACACCGCCACCAACCAGCATAATTCATAATATTATGCCAGATGTTGCGCCCACTCCGTTTTATTCAGTTTTGTTTTATTCTTTTCGGGGGGCTTAGCCTTTTGGCAGGAATTTAACGTAATTTGATTTTGCTGCTCCCTTGGCAAATATTGAGATTTATTTGGTTTTGAATCGAGACTCGCGTCCATTGTTTCCAGAGAAAAGGCATTAAATTTAACACAATTCGGAGTGACCAGCAAATGAATACCGCAACAAATCAGAGTTTAGGCGTGAGTGTAACTGGAGACGGAGTAGTCAGGGCTTCCAACCACTTCCGCTTTGGCTTAGGCCAAAGGATGAGGATGAGTGGCAATGGGGGGTCTTGGTTCTGAGCAACTTTCGTTTGATTTATCATATTCAATTACAAAAGTAGCGAACGTATTAAATGCCACATCCGTTGAGTGTCCCAGGAGGCGTATGAGTAATTTTGTACTCATTCTACTCGGTATCTTTTCTCGGATTGCTTCCGCTGCTGTTCTGTTCTTCTCTGTTCTGTTCTGTTCTGTTTATCTTCGGAGTGGGCAACGGGCCAAACAAATTTGCCAATGTTTAAATAGGGAAAGGCATGGCATGGCATGGCATGGCATACGCTGAAAGCTGATATCAACAACTACTTTAGATCCCTATGTTGGTTCCGCTCTTCTCGCTCCCACCGCCAGAACTTTCAGTAGCTTCGCGTGCGCCATGTGCAGGCCCGGCAAAAGTTTACCAAAGTCCAAATGGAGCGTGTAGGACGGCAGCTGGTGGCCGGAGGAGAGTGCTGTTGGTAGAGTGCTCTCTTGGTCTTTGGCTAACGACTCTGACAGATGCTGATTTCTGGGCTATCCATCTTTGGCAGACTAAATTGCTCAGATTTGATAGAGGTTTGAGTATTGGTAGTTTGTAGTATTGGTTTAAAGGATGATAACAAATCACAAGTTAAGCCTTTTTCCGCATGTACATTTATGCATATTCTTAAATAACTCTTTTTTTATATTTTTTCACATTTGCTCTTAGTTTCCCTTTTTAAATGCACTTTTTGGAAGTTTCTTCTGAGTTATGTGCCATGTTAAATTGAGTGTGAGTGTGAGAGAATAAAGAGTTGGAAATGTGCAGCAGGAACTTTTTCACCCGGAAGCCGCTTTGAGTGGAAGGAAAACTGTCCTCCAAGCGGCAGCGGCTGTCGCAATTTTTCACTTTTACCGCAGCAACTTTGCAGAAATATTACTCAACTGCGCCCAACGGCAATATCCTGACAACAAATCCGGGGAAGCACAATGCATAAGGTGCCGACGATGAGCCGGCAACTTGACAGTTGCTGCCAGCCAGACAACTCTTTTTCTTCCGGGCACTCTTGTTTCCCTTCGGGCCCCGGGTTGTTCCTGCGTTATGCCCAAATATGTGAGATGAAAAATATGCTGCACATAAATCCTGCGGCTTTCGCATGTAACCGAGAAACGTCTGCAAGAAATCCAACGGCTCCAAGCCTGAGAATATTCTTGCCGAAATTTAATTTTCGAATGCACTCGCAGGTCGTGGCTTTTAGGCAAATTGAAAACTGGTTAACTCTGGTGCCAGTTACGTGGCTTTCTTTTATAATTTTGGATTTTTTGTTGGTGTTTTTTTTTTCATCTCGCCCTCTTGCTCTCTCGCCTTTGCTGTTTTCTAAACCACAATGTGCTGCGGCTAATTTATGCAGCACGTTGGACTGCATCAGGACCACAGGACCCAACCAGACCCGACCAGCGCCACAGTTTATCGTTGGCCGCGGTGCGCACAAGTGTCCTAGTGCCGAGCACCGACCACAAATCACCGAGGTCAACATGGCGTATACGCAATGCACACATGCAAACAAAGCGAAACTATGTAACAAAACCACAGAACTTACTGTTTTCAAATAGAAACCAAAAAAAAAAATATAATGGAAGAAGAACTACAGCAACAAAAGCAGCTGAGACCATGTCAACATGTGACACACCACGTTGATTTCAATTTGAATGGCTCTTTTGGATTGGTGTGAGGTGAAAGCGGAGTACGCACAAACACACCTACATACATATATGTATTTATATATATATATAAATATTTATGTTGATTTGCTGTTCCAACGGATTCAGAAATGCGCAGCCTTCACATAAATCTCTCAATTTTTTACCACATTTTTTTCTGGGAGAGGTGTCCTTTATCTTAATAAATAGAGCTACGTTTTTCAAAGGATTTATCACAGTACGTAGTTCAAAGAGATTTCAGAGCTATCTAAAATGTACATATGTACATACATACATATACGCTTATATATTTAATTGTAACAAGATTACCACTTGCCGTAATTGGAAGCAAGAACGAAAGAGGTGAAAAGTTAAATTAGTTCTGCGAGACTTTCAATCACCTGGCAAAGCAATTAAAATGGGTTCGATTTGTGAACGCTTCGTTAAAGTTTCAGGAATGGCAACTCTTGCCCCATCAGGGCAGCTTAAAATATTCATTGCATAGGTATAGGTATAGGCTATGGGTATGGGCTAGAAAGGCTGCCACAAAAGGCAAACGCCACTAATTGCATTCACTAACCACAGAAATGAAATAACTTTTTCAGTTTTTTTTCTCAAACCATCTCCATCTCCACTTTTCTCTTTCCCTCTTTCTCGATGGCGTGTCTCCTGCAGATGCTTTTGAAGTGGCTGCTGTTCAGCCTGTGCATAATGCCGGCCATGTTCAGCAATACGAGAAGGAAGTGCCCCGTTGAATGCCAATGCAGCATGGATGACTTGGATCGTTATCAGGCCATCTGCACAAAAGGTAAGTGGCGCAATAAATGCAAAACCCAGAACGCAGAACCCAGAACCGATAAGGGGAAATGCTTGCAAATTATGCACAAAGAATGAGGTGAGCCAAAGCAACGTCGGCTACAGTCTGGCTTTGCAGAGTGTGTCCCAGTTGGGTACCATCATAATTACACATCCACTTCGATTTGTGTAAATGCTGTGCACACACGCAACTCCTAGAGCGCCACTCCCGCCGACACTCCCGCCGATGTCCAGGACATTACTTTTAAAGCTAACCCATTCATTTCCTTAAATGTCTGACAATTTCAATTTGTTCAACTGTCATTTGCCGTCGTCGCTGTGGCTGGTGCGAGTTTCCAGCCAAAGTGTTCGTATTTTTTCCCCTCCTACTGGCCATCTTCTATGCTTTGGCTCCCCTCTTCCTTTGGCAAACACACATTCAGAAAAATACCATCTACGAAAATCTATAATTTCAATTTAACGCTTGTTTGGTTAGCACACATATTGTAAGTCCTTGAGTCGCTTTGAATGGGGAATATCTTACTTCGTTTTAATTTTATTTCCGTAGTTTTTTACATTGGTTTTTGTATTAAAGATGTGTAAAATAATAAATTCAAAATGCAAAAGAGTTTTAAAACTAAGTTTTTCTATAGCTATACTAGACTAATGAGCAACCCAATATTGTACTATAACAAAAAACTTACCAAAAAAAAAATATAAATAAAAATAGTAATACAACGCGAAAAATGAAATAAAACTGAGAGCGCGTTAAAATATGTTACAATCAGCGTTAATGTTTTTGCATTTTTATGAAAATTCCCGCTGCGTGCTCCGCCATTATAAAACAGATCCAACAACAAGTACAGTACAATGAGCGCATTATAATGCAACTTCACCCTTAGACGTACACATACATATGCATACATATATATATAAATATATATGTAGGTACACACAGCCATACATTCATCCATGGAAAATGCATAAAGCCCAGATCTGAAGCACTATTCTGTGGCACACAATGGAAAGTAAGCGAAAACTAAAAAATTGTGCTGCATACAAATGTTTGGGGGGGAGAGGACTACGACCACGACCAGGACCAGAGCAGGCCAGTAGGAATCGCTAATGGTAACTGGGATCCGTTTAGTTGGCAGTACGAGTATTTGTTGTATGTATATACTCGGAAAATTGTAAATAGATTCCGACTGGCTGTTGCTGGCTGGCTGGCTGGCTGGCTGACATTCTGCCAGGGCATGCTCGACATTGTTGGGATTTTCATACAAAAGAACTGTGGCTGGACTATAGGTAGTACATGCAATTAATGATCTTGTTGGCATTGTCAGGAGCCACTATTGTAGCCAAGCCACGTAGAAGGTCCCCCATTTTATAGCCGTGGGCACAATGGAATTAGTTCAAGTATCATTGTCCAAACCACTCGACCTCGACCACCACTAACTTTTAATGCTATTCTGTTTTACAGGTGGCCTCAACTCTCTGCTGTCCTCCAATGAGCTGGACATTGACGTGAAAGTCATTATCATACGAGGGCCGAGGAACTCTATTACGATTGGACCCGCTTTGCGTCAGTTCATGAAGCTGGAGATCCTGCGCATCACGGACTCCAATCTACCGGCCATTGGGGCCGAGTCGTTCTGGGGCCTCAAATATCTGCGGATATTAGGTGAGTAATCAATCGCTTTACGATGCTGAGCTCTTAAAAGCGCCTTAATAAACATAAATCAAAAGGCGGCAGCGATTTCAATTTAAGCAGCTGCGCGTAGTTAAAACCCAACCCACTGATATGCAAATAATATGGTAACAATCAAAAGGCGAGGGCAGGCCAGCCATCCAGAACAGAGATCGGGATGCGGTTGTCCTGCAGCCTCGTAAAACGTGAACGCAAACGCAAACGCAAATAAAGGAGCGAAAACGTTAAATGAGCATACCAGCGGCAGGCCAGGACATTGCAGGATAGCGCTGAATTGTACCTTATTTAGGAGTCTGTGGAATTTTATAACAACTTTATGCAAGATTACTAATTATTATCAGTAATATAACCAGATGGCAATCAATTAAACCCACAAATGTTGAAAAATATGTATAAACAATTTATTTTATAGTTTTCTTGAAATTTTTATAAGTCAACTTTACTTACAATCAATTCCCATTCCGTAAGGGCATCCAAACTTCTCCATTTGACAACCAGAACGTTGTTGTCTTGTCAATAAAATTGAAATTGATGCGCCAAACAGCAAAAAGCGCCCCAAAAATAAAATAAGATTGGGCAAACGAACGAAGGGAGCAAAAATAAAAAAAAAATCAAGTGTAAAGCCAACGAAAGCATTGGCCCGATATCGGTCGGGGCTTTAAACTTGTTTATTTGTGCTTTATGTGCGGGCCCCCCGCGGACGGTTTACAACTCCAGTTCCGTTCCAGTGGCAGTTGGCCCCTCTCCATTCGGGCCAGAAACAGATACCCGGTCCCCAATTATTTACATGCTCTGATCTTATTTTTTTCCCTGTTCGCATTGGCGTTTCATTCGCTTGTCAGAAGTTACACATGCCACAAAAAGCAAATTTCAACTGCAGTTGGGACTTGTGTGTTTTTTTTTTTTTGGAAGCAAGCTAAAAGCAGCAAGACAATTGGCATATTCTTTTTCCTTTCGCTTTTGCTTTGGCTCTCCGCTTTCCCCTATTTATATTTAAATTAATTTTGCCAAATGTTTAGGCGAGGCGTGGCAGCCAGCTCTTTCCCTTTGAGACAGTCATGGCCATGTTGCCTAGACAATGGGGCGTATGTACAATGTGTTTTATGTGCGGCATTAGCGAGCGGAAATACTTTTGGCGGTTCCAGCTTTAGTCTTTAATCTCTGTCTGCACACACGTAGACATAAATATTTGTGGAATATGGTTTCTGTTACATAATTTACATATTTTAAAAAATTTTTTTTTGCATATTTTTCATGTGGAATATTGTTATATTGCCGTGCGCCCCTACGAACGAATAAAAACAACAATTACCATCATCATCATTCGCTGTCACGTGCAGATCTGTCCAAGAACAATATTACCAACATCACGGAGAACAACTTTCGGGGCCAGGATAATCTCATTGAATTGGATTTATCGAAGAATAAAATTTTACGCATGGCCAGTTCAACGTTTCGTCATTTGACGGTGAGTACAAGGGAGGGGAAAATGTATGGATGACATGACCGATAGCTTTTTGTTTGTTTGTTTTCAACTTAATTATGGGTCTACTGGATGAGTTTGTCGCCTGGTATAATCAGCATTTAAAATTGGCCGTCCTGAGTGCTTAAAGCTATCTGGAATGAACAGAGTAGAACTCTGTAGTGCTTCAGAGTGAAGATCATTGTGAAGTATATGTGGAGTATATTAGCTCCTTACCTTGCATCTATTCTGTATGCAAATATTATCCGATCGAGACGATGTCTGAGTATAGTCGAATAGTCCCCTTACAGCTTTTTCCTTGCACTTGAATTCTGGCTACATATTTGTCCATTCCATGTTATCCCAGAAAAAGCAACTTGCAGTCTTAGGACCAAGTTTAATCTCAAAGATGATTGCAATTTTTGCACGAGTACATTTTGTGCTTCACTTTTCCATTTCTGGCAGCCTTGTAATAAATTTTATGGAATTTTTAATAGCAAACCGAAATGGGTTACCTACTTTTTGGTGCAAAAAAATGAACAGTTCTTACGTGCTTGAATTTAAGTTCTCCTTGCGGCCCCAGCATCCAGCGGAAGTGCCAGTGCACCAAAAGTTAGTTTCGTTGTCTTCAATTTGCTTTCGATTTTGTTTTCCACTGCACTCTAGCGACTTCCTGCTCCTCCTACTACATCCTCCACCCGCCATCCTCTGTCCTCCTACTGCTGTTGTTGTTGTTGCTGTTGCTGCTGCTGCAGTTTCAACTTTTTTGGCAGTTTCCGGAGCCCGCACGGAGACCCTGACCGGGGAATGTTTGCCTGATTTATGAATTATTAGCTACAGTCCTGTACTTGATCATAAAGTATTATTAATTTAGTGCGTGCCATAATAAACTTTATGAATTTGCCAAACTCTTTGCTTTGCTTTGCTTTTCGCCCAGGATCTGCGCCGTCTTAATTTGGCCGATAACTCAATCGTGGAGCTCGTGCAGCGCAATTTCTTCATGCTGAGCAGACTCAAGTACCTGGACCTGAGCGGAAATCCGCTCCAGGATTTACAGCCGGATGTATTCCGCGATGTGTCGGTGAGTGTTTTCATACAGCAGCAACACCATTCCGTCCTTCTCATTGTATTCTGTATCTCCTCTACAGGATCTGAAAGTACTCAAATGCCGAAATTGTCAGTTGAAAAAAATCAATCCACAGCTGTACAATTTATTGCCGCTTTTAAGCGAATTGGATTTGGGACGCAACGAGGTTTGTCGCCAGCTTAAGAGTCTCGCCTTCACCCAAGTATTTTTTCCAATTATTTTTATTTTTTGCTTGCAGTTCAAGTTCCTCGAGAAGGATGAATTCCGAGATGTGAAACGTCTCAACAAAGTTCTGCTCGACGGCAATCAATTGTCTGTGGTCGTGGACCAACTCTTTCGCATGCAGAAAAGTCTTAATCATTTGGGTAAGCCATAGAAATTATACATACACTCTTAAAAACTCTCAATTGACCGCAATTTTCCTTTGCCCCTTTTTTCTATGTTCTTTTGCGAACCCTTTTTAGATTTATCGTACAATCGCTTGGCCAAAGTGCCCAATGATTCGTTTTTGCAGCTGACCAATTTAACATTTCTGGACTTATCCTACAACAAATTGGTGCGTCTGGAGCCGCAATCTGTGAGGGGTCTGAGCAATCTATTGACGCTGAATATTAGTGGAAATGTTCTGATGGATCTAATGGAAATGCGCGATACTTTTGAAGTGGGTTCCCAAATAGCTTCGCAAATTTTTCCCTCTCTTAAATGTGCTCTTCTTTCCAGCTCATTCCCCAACTTACACATTTGGCCATTGCGGATATGGGTGCATTGCCTGTTGGCCTTCTTACGCCCTTCAGGCAGCTGCGCTATCTGAATATCTCTGGAAATTCTTTGGACAACATGGCACTGCAAGTCATCGATCCTTGTCGAGACCTGGAGGTAAGTCCTGGTGCACACACCAACATCTCCTCTCTCTCTCTACACAAAGATCTATTGTTATTTCTGGCCAATTTGTAGAATATTTCACCGCTTGCCATAGCCAATGTAAAGCATTGTGACAGCAGGATAGCACGGGACCCTTCAGCCATTACTATTTGCAGTTTTCGTTAGCGTTTGCCATTTCTGTTTATACATTTCTGACAACAAGCCAAACCCGTGGCTTTATTTCGTTGCAGAGATACGACCATCCCTCCGTCAGTCGGATGTGATGTCCTTGCACGTGCCCCACGTCACTCCGGCTGCCTCTCACTGGCTCCTCTATCTCACTGTTGCAAGAAGCACTCATCTTGTGGATTGTTTTCGTTTCAGCGCTGGAGGTGGCGTGGGGTCTCTGCCACCATTGAATTTTCTGTTATTGTTGCCGTGGACTATGGCAAATTTATTGTCCTGCAACAACAATCATTTTATAGCCATTAAGCCTTTCATTTTAATTGAATTTAATTGTGTATACACTTCACTTCGGCAAATTTTGTGCCCCTACAAAAATACCCAAATTGTTTTTGCCCAATTCCAAGGACTCCTGTGTTTCCGTCCGTCTGTATCCAGCTCCATAGCTAATTGTCATTTCAGAAGCTGGCTCTTACCATAAAGATTAAACTCTACTTTTGCAACCAACTGTCTGTATATCTCTCTTTGTCTCTCTGCTTGCCTTCTTGTAATGCACTTTTAATTGAACTTTTGTGGCCATTTTCCATACCCTTATCCGTATCCGTATCTTCCACAGTATTTGGATTTATCCCGAAATCAATTATACGGCATAAATGAGGACACTGCGCTACGGATTCAAGGCATACGCAATGTGCGACTCGACAACAATCCTTTGATATGCGATGAATGTCACATGGGAAAATTAATAAATGTCGTTCGGCAAGTAAGTGAAATTCAAAATGGAAATAAAATAAACGCCGACTGCTGCATCGAGAGGCGTGCAGAAGTCCGTTTCACTGAAAATTTCAATTAGTTTTCAAAGCCGACGCTGATTGATGATGCCTTGCAGTGCTTCGTGCCACCATAAGGCGTGTGCTACCCGATACGTTTTCCACCGAAGGTTCCGTTAGTAAAACACATCCCATTTTTATGTACTTTAAACCAAGCGACTTTCCCTTGAGCAACAGAAACCCAATCCTATTGGATTTATCTGTGAATGCGACTGCCAAAATATACTGACAGTTAAGCTGCATCGGTAGAAAACGCATCGTGTAACAGAAGCTTTATTACAAGAACCAAAGCTGACTCTGACTGTGTTTTCGGTTCTCTGTTTTTCCTTACTTTTCCGTGTAGCTGCAGTGGAAATGGGACACATATCCAATTTGCTTCCTGCCCAAAAGTTTGCGAGGCGCTGAAATAAATAATTTGGACATTGGCGGGCTGCACACGTGCCTGGATTACATCAGCGATGAGGAACAGAATGCGGCCAGCACTTCGTATAATTTTCTTGAGCACGGTAAGCCACAGGGAAGAGATACCCAAAATAATATAGAAATAGTTAATGGGGTGACTGGGGATCAGTGGCAAGGACACTTGCAATTAAAATACGTGCCAGCACCTGAATTTCTCTTTAATCTTTATCGTTTTTTCAAACCAGGCGGCCTCAATACTCTGGCCATTTTGGGTGGCATCATCTTTGTGCTAATTGCCGTCATTATACTGTCGCTGGTGGCCTGCTTCTCCAAGAATCGAGCCCGCTACTACACCAGGGAGGATCATCTGAATGGCAGTAAGTAGACATAGACATAGACTGAGATTAGCAGCTTCCATTCCGTTTTAATTACAACTGAAGAGGGGTGAAAGTAACGGGCAATTTGCCAGGTCTAGGTGCAGGTCCAGGCGAGGCGTCGAAATAAAAACTGGCCAAAGACATCCGGCAATTTATGTGCCCTTGCAGGCAGCTACTTGCACGCGCATGATTCACCAAATTAAAAAAGGAAAAAGTCGCCGCACTTAATTAATTACAAGAACGTGCTTCATTATGCTGAGTCCTTAGAGCCAGTACCCGAACCCTTACCCACTCCCTGCGCGACCTAATTGAGGAATAAATAAATTTCACACTGACCAACCAGGACCCCCAGGTGGGAAGCTCACCTGAAACTGGCCCAGGGGCTCTGCCATTCAGCAGAGCGTACTCCTGGGTAAACGCTAGAGAGGGAGTCCAGAAAAAACAAAAGCAAACTTCTGAATTTACGCAATTGTAGCATTTCTGCACAAACAATAAAATGGCCTTAGAGGCTGTCGCCTCTCCAAACAGAAACTTTTTGCCACACACAAAAATTCGATTCCCACGATAAACGAACTCTGCCCGGCGAGAGCCAGTGAGAAAACGGACAAAAAAGAATACGAAAATTTTTTCAGCTGACAGAAGGAAAAAAATACGCTCGAACCCAACCACCCACAGGGTTGTTGTTCCTAGAGCTGAGCAAAAAGTGGGTGAAACTGTGACTTTATCCCATGGATACCAGCGGAAGGATACTCCTTTTAAAGCTAAGTAAATGTGGGTAAGAGCTGTGGCTTTAGCCAGTTAGATTGAGAACTCTCAATGCAAAACAAAAAATAGTCAAATAAAGTCTACACAATTGTGTTTTTAGAGTCAAGACTCTTTCTTAAGGCTGTCCAATGTCAATTGAGATATTTCTCTATGATATGTACCATGAGAGTAAACTGTGAATTAGGCAGTGATACGGAAACTTCTCACTCTCCTCTCTCTCGGAACTTTACTTTCTCGATTAAAAACCCGCCAGCAGATACTTCCACAGACTAAAGCTAAGGTCTTTGTTAGCTAGTTATGAAAGTGCAATTGAGAACGTATCTCCGTTGAAACTCACCCATAAATATGCCAGCGCCGGAGAGCTCGGAAATTTCAGCATAAAGAGTAAAAAACTGTGCCTTGGGGCGGCCTATGCTCCAAAACAAAGACATTCTGCATTATTCAGTGACTACTGCTATCGCTGATACTCATTTGTTTTTTCGCATTTCCTTTTTCCCTTTTGTATACTCCTCAGGCGAGAGCAAGTGCTTGGAAAAGAATTTGGAGGCGACCACAATTACAACGCTGGGCAATGGCAGTTCACCCACAACAACAACCACACTGACCCTGGCCACATCCCCATCCCCAGCCACTGGAACAGCAGCAACAGCAGTAGCAGCAGCAGCACCAGGAGGAGGAGGAACAGTATCTGGACCATTAGCAAAAACCAATGGACATGGAGTGAGTCCAAGTCCTGGCAATGGCAGCACGCCAGCCCATGTAGCTGCCTCAGGCTCCGGCGAAGACAAGGGCAAGGAAATCAACTTTACTTTTCCCATTGATGATCGCGTCTGTACCATCGACGAACTGATGCTGCCACCGGCGCCTCCACCACCAGCCGCGTATCAGCACCACCCGAGCATGGGCAGTCTGATGTACAGTGTGTCCCATTCACCGGGCAGCGGACCCGCTGGAACAGCCACCACCATGGCCGCTGTGGCAGCTGCAGCAACTGTCATTCCACCGGGTGCACCCTCCCCAATGCCAACATCCATGCCCACTCCAGCCGAGGCTGTGGTTGTGGTACTGCCTCCGCCGCCGCCGCCTCCACAGCTCCAACACCACCATCAGCTGGAAGGGAGCCTGGCCAGCCTACGTGAGGTGCAGCAGCAGCTGGTCCATTTAAGCAGCACTCTGGAGCCGCTGGTCAGCGTTAACTGACCCAGGGGCTTAGCCACGGCCGCCTCCGTCTCGACCGCAGCATCGGGGGCATCAGTAGCATCCGCGGGCAAGTTTGCCAAGCAAACAATAAGCACGACACCGACGTAAGCCGCATCCGAACATCCGAGCATCCGCACAGCTGAACAGTTGCACGGTGGCACTGCAGACGGGGCGTATAATTAATGACAGTGCGACAGCATTGTTTTTGGGGTCAAATTGAAGTGCAGTAATTAGGATTTGAGTTCGCAATTAAGTGCATTAATCATTCGGTAAGTTGCGACAGCTCTTCATCATCATCCGTTGGACTCTCCCCCACACACACCACACCACACCACACCACACACTCTACGATCATACTGCCATTTTCACAATTAACAACTTTAACAGGAGTTTCACTAAGATACTTGTAATTTAATTTTAAAAACATTTTTTATATGCTCGTCTGTATATAAAATTGGTCTAAATTTAAGCAAAAACCCCAAGATGAAACCCAGTTTAAAATTAATTTCACACATTTCAAATGTGATAAATCCAAGTATAATCTGTAAATAATTATTAAGCAAGATAAACCCGAAAAAAAACTGAATGTGTTATCCCTAAGACAGAAGACAGGAAGGAGTACAATTTGTATATTTGGCCAATGCGATTCAAAATTGAGCAGCCGCTGTTTGAGAATTTAAACGTAAAAAAAAAAAAACTAAAATCAGTATGATAAAATAGCACGTAGTTAGTGGCATAGATTTCCCAGACACATACTTACATATATAAATTTAGTATCTAAGAACAGGCCCGCATTAACGTTAAATCCCATACAAAATGTCTCCATTAAGCAGAAATTTAAAATCAGTTGAAGGTCCCCAGTAGAAAACCAAACGATTTTTGTGTTCCCTAAGAATTTTGGCATTTTTTATATAATCTTAAGTCAGAAAATTGTATTTATTTTACACAGCAATATCCGAATCCATAATAAAGTGTGACTGTTTATGAAAGCAAAAAAAAAATACGAAAAAAAAAACGCGAACTCGTTTTTCTAAAATCAAAGCAAAGAGAATGGAATGAAAACCTTAGCAAGCAATTTATTTAATAAAAATGCACATATACCGCATTGCATTCTTGCATCATTTGCGGTTCTTGGGGCGTCGCCACTTGGCCGCACTTCCTGCCTCGGTTCGTGCGCCCGCCACACACACACTTCCCTACCTATCTATCTTGGCCCATTGTGTGGCAGCTGAAATTATGTTGGTAACATGTCGCTGAGCATGTGCTGTGTCTGTGCCACCCTTCCGGATGGCGTGGTGCTGCCAACCCCAATCGGATGGCGCTTCCTAAGCGACCGCAAGGACGACACCAAAGCTGAAACCAAACTCGACGCAAATGAAAATTGCTTCCGTTTCCGCTGTGGCTGGGATACGGCACTCGGATTGCTATTGTTGCTGATTGCATTGTGAACAAGCTGCCACAGCGAATCGCTTTGATTTAGCACTAACTAAGGAATAATTTTTAGAATCTGTGCATTCTAGGAGCTCTCATCAAAGTGCGTTATAATAAATGATTGGGAATATCTCTCCGTTCAGGCTTCAATTATGCAAAGCAACCTTATTGATCGAACGTCGTTTTTTTTGCATTATGTGGCGCTGTGAAAAATTGCCAGCCATTCGTTTGCCGAATCATGAATCTTATAGACAATGTCCAGCCCAAGCTCTCCCGTTTCCCATATATTGGCTGGGAAAACATTTGAATTTATGCATGAGCCATGTAAAGGCTCTCGAATGCCGTTCGGTGTTTTGTTGCTGCATTGAAAATGCATTGGAAATGGCACAGCAGGAGAGGGGCAGTGCTGTATGGAGCCCAAGTGGATGCAAATTGAGCAATGCGGTTGGAGCTCTTGAGATTGCACATCAATATTGCTACACTTGACACATGGCGAGGACCCAGGACCATCCGAATGAGTGGCGGCCCATCCGGCACTGATTAACATTTGAAGTGTGCCATTCGTGCGGAAGAGTTATAGAAAAATGTACCAAATTGCCTTTGCAGATGCGACTCCACAAAATTCGAATTTTCGACTATTTTTCTCATCTTCTTTTAATTTGGTGCAGCCACTCGAGTCAGCCACTTGCAGCGGCCCCCAGATGAAATTGCTCATACGCAGCAGCGTCTGTCCGTGCAGTTTGGTTATAAAAATCTTTACAGCCCACCCACTTACAAGCAATTGATGGAGAAAATGGCAAAAACTTGGCTCCCATCTGGTTGCCTTCGATTGATTTCCTACTTTAATGCACAGAAGCTTCTTCAGGCTGCCTCAGCTTTGTTCCTGCTGTCGAGGATATAAAATTTGTTCAAACTCCTTGCCTTGCCTTTTTATTACTTTTTCCTCTGGTCTCTGGCCCGGTGGATACATATGTACATATGTCTGTGTGTGTGGATGCAACAGTTGCGGTTCAGTGTGTAAATTTAATCAGGCAGCTTACTCAACTTTGGTGCACTGCAGCAGGAGCGGGCATCCCTGTCTCCCGCTTTATTGGTTTAGTTAGGAGGGTTGAAAAATGTCGAAATTAAATTAAATGCACTTTTGGCAGCGGAGGTTAAACTAGTAAAGCTCATTTAAGGTAAGCTTTTATTTAGTTGGGTTACTGAAATGGTGAGCATATTGGGTTCATGATCGTGCCCCATGAGTTTATTCAGTTTAAGTGCCTCATGTGGGATACTTACTATACAAACCTACTATCAATATTATCCGTACTTAAATCGGATATTTAAAACTGACAAAGTCTTGGAAGATTGAGATAACAAAAACCATAGTTTATTCCATTATTTGCTGGAATACTTCGATATTTACATCATACATATTAAATCAATCCGTTTTGTGTTGACTTAAGTTGAATCAATCACTGTTTGCCTCAACTATTAAAGCGTTCTTGCCAGTATTTGTTGCATGACAAATCGTTTAGAGGCAATGACAGGCAATGTCTTCAGCCAGGGCAATGTCAAGGCACGCATTTGTCAGTACTAATTGCTTTTCAAAGCATTTGTAAATGTTGCACAGCATGGAGCCAACGAAAAACCATTAGGCCGTAACCTCTGACAGCTACACAAAAAAAAAGCACAGGCACAGAAAAGAGCTGCGAAAACCTCATGTGCATAGAGAGAGAGAGAGAGAGAGAGCAAATGAACAATTTGAATAGTCCACGGGGTATTGGCAGAGGAGAGCAACGAATTGGCAAAGATTTCTGCAACGCTTCGACACGTGTGACATGCATGCTGAGATATGTCAGGACACGATTTTTATTATGGCAGAGCCGATGCTACCGCTACCTCCTGCCAGTTGCCAGTCGCCAGCTGGCTGCCTGCTGCCATCAACCAACACTCTGGGCAATAGAAAAACAAAATTTGAAATCGAAAAGTCTTTTTTTGTGGTTCTGGACAAATGCAAAACTATGCACAGCAAACGGAAATCAACAAAAAATTCCAACTCTTCATGGGGACTGTGGCAGTACCCCGGGCGTTTTGGAGACGAAAAAATAAAAGTACAGGGGGCCAGGAGCAGCAGCAGCTGCAATCCAGATCTGCAGTATAGCCAATTAAAGCTTCTTTGGATCCGACAATGTTGTTTAAATCGACTTGAGTGAAAGTTATTTCAAGACTTATTACCGCTCAATTTATTTCGCATTCACTTGCTTTCTGGGCGAAATTATGCTTCGGGAACATCACTAAAATTCTGTGTCTTGGCCATCAAAATTTAGATAGCACTCACAGTTTGTTTTCGCCAAATTGCCGGCTATATATCTCCACCGACAGTACAGCCAAAACGGTCCCCTGGGTGTTATCATAAAGTTTTCTAAATGCATAAATTGTTGGTTTCTGGCCGACAATTCCTGGGCCGGAAAAGTTTCAATAATTTAAACGCAACACGTATATATCATGGCTACTCCTTAAACATTGGCTAATTTGATGGCACTGTGTGGCAAAGTTTGGGCATTTGCCATAATCGCTGTGGCAAGCATAAATCCGTACGGGTCTACGGTAAGTGAAAGGCATAAATATCCGATATGAGGTAGATATATCAAGGCATCCACGGGCCACGGCCTGCCTCCCCTTACCAGCTTCATGCTCTAGCTCAGACAGAAGAGCGTATTACCCGCTGTGTTGGCTTCCCAGATTTATGATGAGACAAAGTTGCGCACGTGTGTGACTCCATTAAATCTCTTAATAGGATAATGCGGCTTAGAAAAATATTGTTGGAGCGCAACAAAAAAAAAGTTATATTGTCAAATTTATGTGACACCCGCTGACAGGAAAATGCAAATTTAAAAAGGGAAGTGCTTTAAAGTGAAAGCCAGAGCCGGAGCCAAAAAGAGGCCCCTTCTGTGCGTTATTTTTCCGTATGTGATAAATGAAGTTGAAGCCTCGACTGCAGAGCACACAGAGCGACGCTGTGGCAGCCCTAAACACGTGCTGGCAGGGCAGCAAATATGGAGAGGAGGCGAGCACTCTGGATGCATGTACCTGTTAGCATCTACCACCGGGGCTCCATGGTATAACAATACGGATGAGCGAACTTAAGCACGCAGCTTTGTGTATTGAACATGTCATCGGCAAAATTTGTGTCAAAAACCCAGCAGCAAATACCTGCATTGGATGGCCAGCACAGGTACAGCTCGTACCTCTTGCAGCCCTTGTTGCATGGCGGCCGGTGCTTCTATTTTCACAATATTTTCAGTTATGCTGCTGCTGTTGCTGCACCGCTCTTACGGTGTTTCCCCCCCCCTCCCACCACAACTGCAGTGCAACATGGCTTGCCACTTTCCGATGACCTCGCCTCGCCTTGTCTGGCTTTGGGTCTGGTTCTGGTTCCGGGCTTGGTCCTGGCTGGGCTCTGGTCTAGATCCGGGCACGGTTCTGTCCGGGACTATACATCAATTTAACAAGCAAGCATGCACATGGGAAATTAGCTAGCAATAACGCTCTTTTTCGGTTCGGAAAACTACGAAAACTGAGCTTATAACACGTGGATACCAAAACCCACATCCCAACAAAAGCAGCCGATGGAATTTTTACAAACATTTTCTTGTTGCCGCCGCTGCTGCTGCACATAGTTCTTTTGGGGTCTTTTGCATACTGAGCATCTGATCAACTTACGAAGACATTTTAAATGAAATATGTGCGAGGAAAAACAATAAAGGATGGATACACTCCTGGGTCTGGCTTTTGTGGGTTAGATATTCGCGAATTATGGTTTTTCTTCCAGGCTAGTTGATCACTTATAGAATAGGATAGTAGCAATATTTGGGGTATAGTTTTTGCTTTGGTTTTAAACACGTTTTGGTTACCAAGAAAAACATTTCTATAATATCCTAAGCATGATTTATTAGAATTTTCTGTTATATTAATGTAGGGTTATAAATTTAGCTTTTCTAAATGGATTTAATTGATTTGTTCAAGCAAATACCATTCATTCAGAAGTCAAAGCATTCATTGCCTGACCTTATGCCTCTATCCAATACGACTTTCAGAGCCCCAGCCACAGCCATATAGTTGTCAGAGCCACAGTCAGAGGCAGAGTCATATCCACCTGCAATTGAGTGACGTCAAAAACGAAGGCGCTGGCTCTTGGGTGCAGCTCGGCATACGCACGGACGTAATGGCTGAGGATTGAATGTCGGTTGGTAGGTGTGGCACAGATATACATATGGATGGATGTATATATAAAGATTTGTTCACCCACGATTAGTTGACGTTGGCGTACACACAGTTTCCGCGCCATTTGCTGTCACTCCGCCAGTTTGCACATCGTCAGACGGCAACGGCAACGGCGATGGCGATGGCGATGACGATGGCAATGGCGACGGCGACGACATCTCTGCCAAGTTCGCTCATGCAGCACAGGAGCAGTTTTTCCTTGTTTTTACACCGGGTATTTGTCATGAAAAAGGGTATGTTGAAGTCTTGCAAAATTTTGTACTTATCCAGCGTCACATATAAGTTAGAATCCTCTCTGTCTTTATACAATAATCGATTATAAAACTCTTCTAGTTCCTACTCTTAAGGGAGGCGTAGCGGCCAGGCGTAGCGGCTCTGTACATTTTTTCTTCTTGGATTTTTATATTAATTTCCCATCCACACCATCCTTCTTGTTATATTCAAACAAAAGCTAAAGGAACTGTTATTTTTAACGATACAGCAATTGCCTCCCTTCAGTACCGAGTATCCACATTGTCGAGTCACTCCACTATTCCGTTTTCGTTTGCTTTTTTTATACTTTTTGTTTGAGTGTGCGACATATCCTTCCTTCTGCTAATGGTAACTGGAAATGGCAGCCACTGAGAGCGCCAATGTCGATTGGCGGCGCTGTATTCGCTTGCGTTGAAGGTTCAGCGTCATTGGGGGGCAATGTTGCCAATTTTGTTTGCTTTCGCTTTTACTTTTCATAAGACAACAATTTCTGTTTCACTGTTTCAATTTTCTGTGCTATTGATCGTGATCGGGCTGATGAGAGATTCCATCACCAAATCTTTGCGGCTGGCTGGTGCTGGGGCTGGGGCTGGGAACACGTTTTCAAAGCACACGCCTCAAGGCGAATCGGTGATGCATTGGCAAAGGTTTTCCTTCCGAAAGTTCTGGCACTGTTTTGCTGTTCTTAAATGCCTGGACTACTGCCATGACTGTGGCTCCAGTTAGCTGTCAATTTGTACAACGACAATTGCACTGGCTTCTATACCTCCTGTGCCTGTGCCAGGTTCTGGGCCTTGGCCAGACTCCGGACCGTGGCAATCCCGCTGATTGTGCAATGCAATTTGGCCGATGCTATTGTCTCGCTTTGGTCGGGCAATTGAATTCCCCAAATTAGCTCGGGCGTACTGAAGGAGCAACATAGGTTAAGTGCGCCTCTGATAGAGATTAAGTGGAGTTTCTGCTTTAAGAATCGATTGAGAAATTATGAGAAAATGCAGATGCTTGGTACGTTTAGTAGCTCAATTGAGCTCAAGTAGTCGAGCTTACCGCCGCGTTTTGTGGTCGCTACGAATGAGACCCCACAGAATCAGCTTTGTGTTCCCCAAACCACACAGCACTTTGCGATAAATATATTTAACCCAAGCACTTCTGAATATATCGCACACGAAACCTTTAAGGTGATTGAATTTAATTGCTCCTCAGACTTTCTTAGATGAAACTTGAACATAACTCATTTTCCAGCATATTGCCATTACCCCTGGAACCTGGGCCCATACTCGTATCAACGCCTCTCGAAAGTTCACTTTTAATGTATTTAAATGAGAGACATGCCCATAACCAGGGCCATTTCCCCTCTGGCCAACTCACACGTCGTGAGTGCAAAAGTTTTGCTATTATTAAGGGCCTCATTGTCGGTTTTGTTGGACCCAAGGCGACTGTCCGCCGCCAGCGGCCCCCCCTCGCATGTGTGGCAGTAGTTGGGGCGAAACACAGAGACCCATATACACACGTTGGGCCCCCTGTCCGGACAGGACCCAAGCCACACAATAAAGAACAATATATTTCACACAACTTTGTTCATATTTTTAATGTCAGGAGTATAATAATTACGTTCATTGACTTTGCTAAGTAGCCTACTTTATGCTAATGTGATTTCGTTGCACAAAACTGGAAGTTATCAGCGGGCAGGGCTGGGCTGGGCAGAAGTGCCCCTTTGTACTGGCATATTTTTACATAATTGAATATACAGAATTTTCAAGTGTCAATTCATGTCTTTAAGAGTGAAAAAGTTAGTAATGACTGTTAATATTCCTTGACGAAGTTTTAAAACTCTTCGTTTTCCAAAACGATGTCTGTTCTAGAACGATTTCAGAATACTGAATATTTGTTCCCAGTTTGAATTTAGGGACCACAAATCGGACGCACTTACAGCCTTAACTGCTGTCATTAAAACGGCTCGCCTCGCCTATCAGTGCTTAGCACACAGCCCTAAAAGCGTCAATTAAATTAAGGGAAATTACGCAAAAGAGAAAAAGGGAAATGTCATGTAATATTTCTGTGCAAATGCGTCATTCGCTGGACTCGGAAAAACAAATGGGGAAAACAACAAACCAAAATACGCATGAACTATCGATTCGTATGGATGTTGGGAGTATTTCTAGCATTGCTAATACGCCATGTAGTACGTTTATTATTTATTGGCGGCCCCCCCCTCTATCGATTTTCCGTACAAGTTGCAATGTCAATATCAAAGGCGAGGCAATGGAAGCCCTAGCAGAGCAAGGTGTCAGCAGTTTGGTTGGTTTTCTTGTGTGTTCCAGTGAACGAAACAAGCGACGGCTAATTGAATTTACAGGTGCATTGGCAAGGCCCCGTGGTATAAATGGCGGATTGCCAACGGGCGCTAATTAATAACGACGCGAACGACGCAACGCGGCGTATCACAATCGACGAGCGCGAAAAATTTAGGAAAATAAATATTTTCCATATAGTTTCCGGATTAACTGCTTCAAAATGGTGGTCAACTTCAAGGTGTTTAAGAAATGTTCCCCGAACAACATGATCACGCTCTATATGAATAGGCGTGAGTTTGTGGATTCTGTGACGCAAGTGGAGCCAATCGGTAGGTAGAAAACAACGAAAGACTATCAGTCCCTGAGAGCATACACTCTAAAAGGAAATACACGAACGGGAAAGCCAAGGTGGAGCTAGTCACGTGCGGAATATATTATGTTTGAAATCTGAACACATTTTCGGAATACCACCATCAACCACGTCGTGTGTGGTCCAATCTTGGTCTTAGCTTTCTTGGCAACGTTTTTGCAGAGTGTCATTACCGCCTGAATCGGATTATTAATTAATGTTGCCTTTAGAACCGAGGAACCGAGGTGCTTCCAAGTCCTTTTTTTTGGTTGTAGTTTTTTATGCATCTTTATAATAGAAATTATAACGATCGGTCGGCTTGAGTTACGGAAAGCAAGCATTTCTTTTTGCTATCCAATGGCTATGTCTATGCCCGTCCTGCCCCAACTTCATGCAAAATTCTTACTCTGACTAAGACCTAATTAAATTAAGCCCTCATTTATGCAACCCCTGATAGTTGCATTACCAACAAAAGCAGCTTATTAGTTACGTGACCATAGAATCCATACAGAATCCAGCATGGATACGTGACTGGGTATAGACCTGCTGCCTGCTCCCTGCTGCTGCTTCTGTGGCGGTTGTAATGCCCAATTAATTAGGCTCTCATTTGCAGATGGCATCGTGGTCCTGGACGATGAATACGTGCGCCAAAACCGCAAGATCTTTGTGCAGTTAGTTTGCAATTTCCGGTATGGACGCGAGGATGATGAGATGATTGGACTGCGCTTCCAGAAGGAGCTGACTCTGGTCTCGCAGCAGGTGTGCCCGCCGCAGAAGCAGGACATTCAGCTGACCAAGATGCAGGAGCGTCTGCTGAAGAAGCTCGGCTCTAATGCCTATCCGTTTGTGATGGCGATGCCGCCCAGCTCCCCGGCCTCGGTGGTTCTGCAGCAGAAGGCCAGTGACGAGAGTCAGCCCTGTGGCGTCCAGTACTTTGTGAAGATCTTCACAGGTGACAGCGACTGCGATAGGTCACATCGCCGCAGCACCATCAACCTGGGCATCCGCAAGGTGCAGTATGCCCCCACCAAGCAGGGCATCCAGCCCTGCACTGTCGTCCGCAAGGACTTCCTCCTGTCCCCTGGAGAACTGGAACTGGAGGTGACCCTGGACAAGCAGTTGTACCATCACGGGGAGAAGATTTCGGTGAACATCTGTGTGCGCAACAACTCAAACAAGGTGGTGAAGAAGGTCAAGGCCATGGTGCAGCAGGGCGTGGATGTGGTGCTCTTCCAGAATGGGCAGTTCCGCAACACGATCGCCTTCATGGAGACGAGCGAGGGCTGCCCCCTGAATCCGGGCTCCAGTCTGCAGAAGGTCATGTACCTGGTGCCCACTCTGGTGGCAAACTGTGATCGGGCAGGCATTGCCGTGGAGGGTGATGTCAAGCGCAAGGACACAGCCCTGGCATCGACCACACTGTGAGTAATGCGATCGCATATCCTGAATGTAAATATATTAAAGGATTACATTTCTCTCTGCAGGATTGCCAGTCAGGATGCCAGGGATGCCTTTGGCATAATCGTCTCGTATGCTGTGAAGGTTAAGCTCTTCTTGGGAGCCCTGGGCGGCGAACTGTGCGCTGAGCTACCCTTCATTCTGATGCACCCAAAGGTGGGTGATATTTGCACAAAAACATTTCAAATATATTAACCTGTGTGTGTGTGTGTTCTGTACAGCCAAACCGAAAGGCCCTGGAAGCTGAGGGCTCGGTGGATGCCTAAACGGAAACGATTACCTCAATTGCGTATTTCTATATGTTTAACCGATGTTTGTAGGCCTTTGTAAAAGCTGATGTTGCTGAAAATGTTCTGAACTGCAGTCGTCGTACTCTTCCTATATAGCAAAATCAATATTCATATATGTGTGTATGTGTACTATAAATATAACTCAACAAACCATTAAATATGGCCAAAATATACATGTATTGTATCTTTGCGGTGAGCTTGCCACACAAAGATGCACAGAGCAGATTATTGGGCTTATTAGCTTATTAAATTTACCTCAAACTCAAATCCCACACACTCACAGACAGCAAATGCATTCATTAATGCAGTGTTTCCAATGCGGAGTCCCCAAGGCAATGTTTCACAGATTATGTATTTATTGAAGTGCAATGGGGAAATCAACTACATATTTAACTCCATACAAAAGCTTATAGTAGGACTTAGTTTTGTGGCTAACTGATTTCAATTACTGCCAAAACCAGACAAAATTAATACTGAAGAAGACAAGAAGATTTATCAGTCTAGAAAATAGCAAATTAAATGGAATCGCAATCTCTGCGTTATTTGTAACATACAGAATGCAGAACTCAACTTCCCTACTGAATCATTTGTGCAGATTTTAGCTTATATTCTACCAGACAATGGGCTGACAAACCTCTTCATTTTGGTTAATGTTACAATAACAGACGCCAGCGTTTCTTGTATCAACATAATTCCGTATTTTCCAAAGCTGATTGCGTCCTTTGAGCCTTTTTGCAGCTCACATCATGGGAGACGTCTCTCATTTCCTGCGCATCAACCATTTTCTGTTGCAAATGCTTTGGAGCCACATGGCTTTTGGCGCTTTTAATTAGCTGCAGCGATTTACGGCCGTTACGAGTATCACGAGTAATTTGGCTCGCACGCCGTGTGCAAATTTTTGGCACAATATCTATATGTGTTTGTGTGTGTACGTACACTTTGATGAGTGGATGCGTTGGTACAACTCACACTGGATTGACAAACCAATTTGCAAAATGATTTTGCACTGGCTTAATCGGCCAGTGCTTTGATAGCTAGATTAGATTATTCTCTCTTTAATCTTGTTGAACTTTATGGCACCCTAATTAGTTTGATAGGAAAACTGCATTAAAACTTTAAATTCCATAAACGATAAGATGGCGGGCACTCAATTGGGAAATAGTTGACCCCAACTATTGTTTTGATTGGCCTAAAAATAGGTTTTTAGTTCCCTAATAAAAATAAGGAACACCGAAACGAAATCTCTGGGTGCTGAAGAACCCTTATAAAAATGGTCAGATAACGAAAGGCCCGAATTTTATTCAGATTTATAGACTGCAGATTGAATATTTCCATACTTTATTCACCATGAGTTTCCAGTTACCAGCTGTTGCTACTTGCAATCATCAAGTAGTTAGCCTTTGATAACGCAACAGTCTGCACCTGTGAAGGTCTTTCAGTGCGGTTAAAACCCACTTAAATTACTTCACAATCAGCCTGCCGATTTGGGTTGAGCAAACCAAACAAAACGAATCCATATGGCAGACAGGTTGATTAGGCAGGGGATAATCTAGCTGGCGAACGATGAATAAAGACGGTGGCTCGTTCGGATCGTTTGGCATTCAGGTTGCAGTCTTTGTTTCTGTTCGATCGATATGTGCTGCTGTCGTTGCTGTGGTGTGACCCAACAGAAGGTATGGGTGTTCGGCACCGGTACACTGTTGGCCGTATCAGGACTCTTGTCCGTAATATGGGGGCCTAGTTTTATGGACTCGCTGATAATGAAGGTGACCCAGTAAACTCAAAGAAAAGTTTGGAAAGTATTTACTTGAAAAATCGTTCAGGAATTGCCGCTAACGCCCACCTCAAAGACCTTCGAGAAATGGGAGGAGCTGCCCATTCCCGTATACTTGCATATGTACCTTTGGAACTGGACGAACGCGGAAGATGTCCAGGCCAATGGTGTGAAGCCAATATTCGAGCAGTTGGGTCCGTATGTCTATCGGGAGGAGCGCAAAAAAATGGACTTGGAGTGGCACACTAATGGCACGGTCACCTTTAATCCCAGACGTATTTGGTATTGGGAGGAAGAGATGTCGGGAGGAAAGCAAACAGATATTATCACCGGGCCACACCTGCCATCTATCGTGAGTAGCTTGATATCCGTGCCAAAGGGTTCCTTAAATTCAAATATTTTCCAGGCTGCTGCCAATTCCATGAAAGACAGTAATATATTGATCAAATTGATGTTCAACCAAGCACTCAACGCGAATGGAGGAGCTCTGTTCACCACCCATACCGCCGCGGAGTGGCTGTTTGAGGGCTTCTATGATGAGTTCCTGCACTATGCAATGAATCTGAACAATCCACTGGCACCTGAAATTTTGGATGATCATTTTGCTTGGTTCCTGAATCGCAACGGATCGAAGGACTTCGAAGGACCCTTCACAGTGCACACCGGTGTCGGTGACATCAAGGAGATGGGTGAAATCAAGTACTGGAAGGGCCTGAACCACACGGGCTGGTATGAGGGTGAATGTGGGCGACTCAATGGCAGCACTACTGATCTCTTCGTGCCCAATGAGCCGAAGGAGAAGGCTCTCACCATATTCATACCGGACACCTGTAGAATCATCAATCTGGAGTATTCGGGAGTGAGCTACGATATTGAAGGCATCCAGGGCTGGAAATATGAAATAACCCCGAACACCTTCGATAATGGTCAGGTGAATGGAAACATGAAGTGCTACTGTCCGGTGGACAGGTACCCAGACGATTGTCCCGCCAGCGGAGCCACGTCTCTGGCACCCTGCGGCGATGGTGCTCCCATGTACCTCTCTGCGGATCACTTTATGTATGCCGATGAGAGCTATGCAAACACGATCACCGGCTTCGATCCCGAGTACGAGAAGAACAACTTCTACATCATAATGGAGCGTAAAATGGGCGTTCCCCTGAAGGTGGTTGCCAATGTGATGATCACTTTGTACATTGAGGAAGATACCACTATTGAGTGAGTACTAAAATCGATTTTGTTGGGGATCTTTTGGTTAGTTAATGCCAACTTTCCAACAGCATACTAAAGGGCGTACCCAGCTTCTATGCCCCACTCTTCACCACATCCAGTCAAGCGCAAATCGACGAGGCACTTGCCTCCGAACTGAGGGTAGGTGACAATTCTCCTACTGGAAAGCACTTCTCACATTTGTATATCCTTCCAGCTGGTTCTGAGTCTGCCCTCTATTGCTCGCTATACAGGAGTGGGATTGCTCTGTGTGGGCTGCATCCTAATAATCATTGGAGCTGTGTTGACTTTCAAACGGAAGTGGCGTGGCCAAGCCGAGGCTGATAGACTTGCTCTTAGGGATAATGAGGCTATTGAAAACGAATCAGCAGTGGTATCGGATAATCAGTTATAACCGCTATCCAGCAAACACAACTTTGTGATCCTTAGAAAACTAAGTGTGATAAATAGTTTTTAAAATGTAAGCAATTTAATTGATTTAAAGCTGATGGTTTTTTTTTATTAACTTTTTAAAATAAAGTACTAACTGAATAGCGGCCACGACGCACTGTGGCTCATTTTGGTTGCCTAGATGAGAAGTGGGTCAAATAATACGTTCAATAAAAATTTATTTTAGCAATACTCAATATTCCGTTCCCATTTCCGTCACCTTCAGTTGATCGTCTTTTATTCGTCTTTTATTATATTCAACCATCTTCTTTCACTATTCAGACTAAGGATTACAACTGATTTACAATTTTGCCATTGAGGCAGAACAATCCAAGCCTTTCCCCAGCAAACTTCAAACTTCGTCGTACACCAACGCGACGCTCTTCTCGTGCAGTTTTTCGTTCTTCATCAGTAAAATGAGTCACATCGTTCCGTAGCCTAGTTGAATAATATTATACTCGTACAATTTTATGTACAACTAGAGGACCCGCGCGTTACGCTGCTTACTAAATGCATTTAAAAATTTTTTTATAAAAACCATGCCACGTACTCTGGCTATCATTTAAAAAAAACCGCATACAATTTGGTACACGCGTTGCGGAGAAATTATATGAAATAGGCGTTCAAACGCACACTTTTGGACCAAATTTAAGATTTTTTTTTATTCTTGAGGAACATATTTATAGCAAAGTACAACAGCATGCAATTTGGTGCACACGTTGCGAAGATAGCCGCTTACACATAGATTTTTTTCTACAAACTCTACAAATAGCGCTCTGGCTATTCCCCAAATTGTAAATAAATAAATATTTCATATTTTATTAAACCCGTCTCAAAAAAGAGTTAAGGGGTATATTAGATTTGTGGCAAAAGTGGATGTGTGTAACGCAGAGAAGGAAACGTTTCCGACCCCATAAGGTATATATATATTCTTGGTCAGCATCAATAGCCGAGTCGATATAGCCATGTCTGTCTGTCTGTCCGTCTTGTTGAGCGCCTAGATCTCAGAGACTATAAGAGCTAGACTAACCAAATCTGGTTTCCAGATTCATGTGGTATCACACTGCTACAAGTGTATTTCAAAATTTCGCCCCGCCCCCTTCCGCCTCCGTAGAGTATCCCCCGTCTCCCCTTGCAGGAAACATGCTACTCATTCTCTTTCTCGCTCGCACACTCTGCCGCGTTCAGTGCGCGAGCAACCCCAAGCGAAGGAGATGTAGAATATAAATGGTACATGTACAATCTACATGTTAGATGTAGAATTTACATTGTATATGTATATGTAGATAACAGATGTAGCAAAAACATGTAATATGTAAAATTTTTTTTTTTTTAATTCTAAAATTCTAAAAAATCATATGCTCAAAAATGTAAATACTGACTGAGTACGGATATAAGTAGAGTCGCGTCCCCAGAAGCGACTCACACGTTCCTTCTCGTTTTTTTTTTACTTCGGGTGAATGGTACTGAGGCTCTCTAGGCTATACCTTAGAGAGGCATTTGCAAAAAATTAAATCCAAGAATTACACACGCACACAACATAACGGGAACATGCCACGGAAAGGGATCCAAAGTAAAACAAGTTGGCGAGTGGATTAAACATCAAAAGACTATAGATTTTGTAACATTATTATTCTTTACTAAAACAAGTAACACTATCAAGTAATTTTACAAGTAAAAGTAATAAAACATAAAAACATAAAAATTTCAAATCTCAAGCATGGAAACTGTACTGGACGGAATAATAGGCGGTATTCTGTCCACAAATACCGAGCGCATTCGCGAGTCCACCGAAGCTTTGCGGCAGGCGTTTAAGAATCCGCAGACACTGCTAGTGCTCTGCCGGATAATGGTGTCGCCTCGCGAGACCGAAGTTCGCCAGTTGGTGGCTGTACTGCTAAATCGTCGACTCAGGAAGCAGCGCTCCTGGCTGTTGGTGCCGCCCGAAGACCAGGCAGTCATCAAGATCGGCATCCTGCAAGCATTAATTGGGGAGCAGGAAAAGATTGTGAGGAACGTGGTTGGTCAACTCATTGGGACTTTGGCGCAACATGAGGCGGCCGAGAAGAACTCGTGGTTGAACGAATTGCTGGCGTTCACTTACCAACACTGCAGCATGGCCGATCCCAAGAAGAGTGAGCTCGGAGCATTCTTATTTTCCAAACTGGCCGAAGCCACACCCGATCTATTCACTAGTCGAATGACTGAGACCTTACACCTCTTCACGTGTATACTGATGGCAGCCCAGGCCTATGGCGATATGGCCACACCCACTGTCGCCAATATGATAAAGGGTATGTGCTATCTCATTCCAGCAGTTGAAGGCCTCACAGCAGCGGAGCAGATGCTGGCCAACGCCGTGCCCCTGACACTCTCGGCCCTGCAGTCATTTGCCCAAAAGTATCTCAATGCCGAATTCACCAACTGTTTTGACACCCTCGATTCCATAGTCGAGTATGTGCCGAAATTGTTGAATCAGAATTTGAAGTACGTCGTGCATTTCTGTCTGCAGATGATGGCCGGCTATCAGATAGATACGTGCATTCGAATGAGTGTATTGAACTTTGTGCAATACTTTGTCCGAATCAAGAAGCGGATGATTATCAAACAGAACCTGCTGGAGCCCATAGTGAGCGTTATCGTTGAGATGATCTGCAGTGATTCTGACTTCAATGATACAGAGAATGAATACTTCTCGGGCACAGGCAATACTCCTGGCGCCTCGGCCACCAACATCCTCGATATCATGGCTTGTCACATACCGTCAGAGAAGATGCTTGGCCTCGTTTTGCCCCTTATCGAGACGGCTTTGCATCATGTGGATGCAGTGCGGCGACGCGGCGGCTTCATGTGCATGGGCGTCATCTCCGAAGGTTGCTCGGAGGCCATCAAGCGCAAATATCTGGAAATAATGGTGAATATTATCATCCAGCGGGGCGTTGTTGATCACGATTTCAGAGTACGAAACGCGGCCTTCTTTGCCATTGGACAGTTCTCGGAAAATATGCAGCCAGAGGTATCTGAATATGCAATGCAAATTCTGCCCGTGCTCTTCGATTTGCTGCACCAACTGATGGTGGATATATATCTGGGCAAATCGGTGGACCACAGCTACATGAGGCGCATCTTCTATGCGCTGGAGGTGTTCTGCGAGAACCTTGCAGATAAGATTGTTCCATATTTGCCAAAACTGATGGAGCGGTAAGCTATTATTTTCTTTGCCAACTTCGTTTCCCAGAGTAATCCCCCTTTATGTTCTCAGTCTGTTCGAGTGCATGGATGAACGGCACACCGTCCGAATGCGACAGCTGGCCCTGGCCAGCATCTCAGCGGTGGCCAATGCATCCGAAACGAGTTTTATGCCATACTTTGACACGGCTATGGACATACTACAGCAATATCTGGTGTACGAGTGCACCGTGTCGATGAATGAGTTGCGCATTCAGGCCATCGATACACTGTCAGCGATCTGCTGCAAGGTGGGCAGTGATAATTTCATGCCTTGCGCCCAAGATACGGTGCAGTTTTCGGTGAATATGCTGGAGCAGGGTCCCGATGATCCGGATTTGAGGCGTGCCGTCTATAGTCTGCTTGCCGCAATGTCGAATGTGATGACTGAGGATATGGACACAGTGTTTACCAGGGTCCTGGAACGGATTATGGAGACGGTGGTCTCTACAGAGCATGACACTGACAACGAGCAGGAGGATGATAGCGATGACGAGGATTCTTGGGATGATTTGGATGTGGAGAACGATTATGTCTATGAGAAGGTGGAGGCCATATTAGCCCTGAAGGAATTCGCTGTGAATTCGATCATATCCTTCTCGCCCCACCTCACAAATTCACTCTTTGCGGTATACAAAAACATTGATCATGGCCAGAAATGCGTTCGCGAAGCATCCGTCAAGGCGCTCTGCGCCTTTGTGAATGCCCTCGACACTGTGCGGGACAAACGCGGCGTGAGGGGTGCCTGCGACATTCTTATGCCAAAGTTTTCCGACCTCATCAAGAACGATCAGGAACATGACGTAGTTTGGGTAATATTGGATGAGCTTAGGGATCTGTTCCGGGCCATCCGGAAAGGCGCTTTGCATGCGCCAGAACCCGCAGAGGCTGTTGTGGATGCCATTGAAAACGTGCTACTCAACAAAATTGCCTGTCAACTGCCTGAGCCCAGTGGCGGTGGCGGTGGTGACGGGGAGATCGTAAGCCTGGACACCGTGGAAAGCGAGTTGGATGAGATGATCGCAGAGAGTGCTTGCAATTTGGTTGCCACAATGGGAATGGCTCTCGATCCGGACTCATACTCAATGTACTTTGGGCGATTATATCCTTTATTAATGGCCCAATTGGTATGCATATCAATTTTATGAGACTTGGCAGTTCTAAATAACCTTCCTTCGTTTTTGTAGGATAAGGCCAAGCGTAACGATGAGCCACGTAAGCGTTCCGCAGTCTATGGCGTCCTATCCGAATGCATTAATACGTTGGGCATGCGTGTCGCCACCCATTTCGATGCCCTCTGTCCCGTGCTCCTGGATGGCACCAACGACTGCGAATCAGATCCGCGAATGGCTTGCTTCTGCGGACTGGGCGAACTGGTCTATACTGCTAAGGAAAAGTCCTTTGGCTCGTATACTGTGATTCTGCAAGCCCTCTCCAATGAGATCGCCAAGAACTCGACGGATGCCACAGTACTGGACGATATTTGCGGTGTTTTGGCACGCCTGATTATAACCAATTGCAATTTGGTGCCTCTGGATGATGTGCTGCCCGTTTTCATGTCCCTTCTGCCCATTCGCAATGACACCGACGAAAATGGCATGGTGCTCGACGCCTTCCGTGTGCTCTACATGAATGCGCGACCCAGTGTTGTCGTATTCGTTGGCGAAATGGTTTCCATCATCTTTCATGTGCTGCTCCATGAGCAATTTGATGATGACAAAGCCACCGCCAGAGCCATTACTTTCCTGAAGGAAATCAAGCACGACTTTCCCGACCATATCAACAATCTGATCGGCTCGTGCATGACTCCGGCGGCTCTTACATTGCTACAGAAACTGTTCAATTAAGCAGACACATAATGTGGAGCATATATTGATGATATTCTTTGAGATTTCGCAATTGTGTTGGTTAAATGTTTCTAAATTTAAAATTTACATTAAATACTAGTAGACAAACATTCGTCAGATCATTGCTATATTTTGTTTAATAAAATGACATAAAACGCTACAAAACATTGAGCATTCCGTTCCCGTTTCTTCAGTTGATCGTCTCCCGTTCCGTCTTCCGCTACGCCCGCGGATGCTTCGTGATTTTCGCTCTCGTACAGACTTCCGTTCTTTCTCATTCATATTCGAAAACCATCTTCTTGTGCAGTCCAGGCGTTTCTCCAGCAAACTTCAATGCCCCACAATGCTCGTAAAATTTCGTCGTACACCAACGCGAAGCTCTTCTCGTGCAGTTTGTCGTTCATCATCAGTAAATTGAGTCGCTTTATTGCTCTGCTGGAAAAGATTAGACGTTTGTAATAATGTGCAGTGTATTTTTTTTTTTTTGATGAAAAAACCTTGCACTCGAGGACGATAAGCTGAATATACACGTCTGGTTGATAACATAGCTGATATTCACTATTATACTTATATATTATTTGCTAAGTTAACATACATTTGACAGCCCTGGAAAGGCCAACTCCATACAAAAACACTTAAATCGCTGATATCTTCTATATATATTCAAATCTCTTTCCACTGTGTTTGTGACTGAACTCCTCCCAAACGGCTGGACCAATTTTTATGCATTTTTTGTCGTATATTAAGTAGGTCTTCATATTACCACCAATTAACTCCGAATCGCAATTTAAATGTTTTTGGAAAAATTAAAAAATTAATTTAAATAAAATTAAACTTGATGAATACAATCTTAAAAATTCCAAAAAAATTTCTCCAAATAAACACCAATTAAATTTAAATTTGAACTAAAAAGAGCCCAGCCCCTTGGGGGTCGTTTCGGAATCTAATCTCACTGTTAACATTCTCAATCTGCATCTTAATCACATATAATTTCTAGCCGAAATATATATATTGCCAAAAACGGTGGGTGTTTGCTTAGTTTCATTCGATCCGTCGCGATGTGCTGTAGCTGTTGTAGTGTCCGCATGCAGAAGATCTGGGTTTTTACCCTGGGAGGCCTGGCGTTTGTCCTAGGAGTATTCTTAGTCGCCGCCTGGCCGAGTTTATCCCGTCGGTGGATACTCGAAATGCTGCCGCTGGCTCCAGACTCCTTCATATACAAGCGCTGGGTAGCAACACCCATGCCGTTGTACAGTTCGATCTATCTGTTTAACTGGACCAATCCGGAGGACCTGAACAAGGCGGGAGTTAAGCCGAATTTCGAGGAGCTGGGACCGTATACGTTCAGTGACTACAAGGTGAAGGAGGACTTGGAATGGGATCAACCCAAGGTGACCTTCTACGGTCGACGCACTTGGCATTTTGTGCCCGATAAATCGAATGGGTCCCTAGAGGATGTGGTTGTCACCCCAGATTTTCCCGCTGTGGTGAGTGGAGTGCGATTAACGTTGAGAGGAAAAGTAATGGCTCAATGCCACTATCTGTCAAGGCACTAATACTGTTTAACGCTTTAGACAGCTTCTTTTATTTCGCGCAAATATCGACGCGTACTTCGGAAGGTAATGAACTTTGCCCTCAATCGTGAGGGTGGTTCCACCTTCATAAAACAAACAGCCGGAGAATCTCTCTTCGATGGATACTACAACGAGCTGCTGGACTTTGTGGAGCAGCTGCATTCCCCGCTGCTGCCCGTTCCCAGCGGTACTTTCGGCTGGTTCTACGAGCGGAACCAATCCAAGACAGCCGAAGGAAATTTTACCATACACACGGGTCATGCAGATCGTAGCCGGATGGGAGATCTACTGCTTTGAAAGGGCCAAAACCACACCGGCTACTATTCGGGCGAGTGCGGAAAGGTAAATGGCAGCACCGGTGAACTGTGGTCACCGGACCGACAGTGGGATAGACCAACTTCTATATTTATGCCCGATGTAGGACGCTTTCTAAATCTGTATCCCACGGAGAACGTCACCATTGATGGCATTGATGCCTGGAGCTATGTCTCCACTGAACTAACCCTCGACAACGGACAGTTGTCGCCGGACACAAAATGCTTTTGTGTGGGCAAGCGGGAGTGCCCGCTCAACGGAGTGCTGGATTTTTCACCATCCACCTATCACGGTCCATTCTATATGTCACATCCCCATTTCCACATGACGGATGGCATGTACAGGGAGAACACCACTGGTCTGCAGCCAAATGCCACGGAACATTCCATGTATGTGATAATGGAGCCCACATTGGGAGTACCCGTAAAGCTAAAGGGACAGCTGATGATTAGTGTGCGAGTGGTGCGCGATGAGGCTATAGAGTGAGTGAAAAACGGTGCTAATTGTCCAAATTCAAGCTAATTGTAAATGGTGGCTGTGTCCCATAGTTTCTTTAAAGATGTGGCCTATGATCATTATGCGCCCCTTTTTACCCTGGTATTACATGGACATCTGGATGATAATCTAAGAAGTTTAGTTAAGGTAAGAATATACCTTGAAGTATCTACATAGAAACTTAATCTGTTGATATTAACTGAATTATTTTCAGCTTGCTTTGAATGTTCCACAAATTGGACAATACACGGGAATAGCTTTGCTCCTCATAGGACTCACCATGGTAGCGGTGGGCGTGTACGTCTCTAGGACTCACAAATGGCACAACGAACAAAAGGCAGAACCTATTGATAAAGTAAAAGTAGCGGACAAAAATATTGGCACAACTTGAGGGCACCGATAAGACTGTTTATGCCGTACACGGCGCTAATCTCGCTAATCATAGCAAATACTTAAAGCTATCAACCACTCGAAGTTATTTAAAGACGGTGAAGAGCCATAAAAAATTCAAATTACTTTCCCGGGGGCTGGATTATCCAATTTCGTTCAGGTGTTGCCCAGCTGCAAGCATCTAGAATTACACAAAATTATGGCCTTTCAAATATGCTAAAATTTATTAATATGTTAATAATTGTTTTTTGTTGTTTCGTTCGTGCTGTCCGTCTAACGTGAGATGGAGTGGGAGCCGGTGCGGGCCTTGAGCACGTAAGCTGCATACTTTACGGCGTACGAACTCTTTCACCAGGCGAAAGGCAGGACCAAAACCAAAGGTAAAGGCAACAAATGCCTGACTGGAAATTTGAAAAATGCCAAAAGAATATTATAAGCGACTAATTTATATGCACCAAGCACGCCAACTTACGTTTTGCACACACATTGTTTAGTTCGGACGATGGGAACGAACGGAACGGAACGGAGCTCAGGTTAAGCAATGTATGAAAATATGAAAATTATATGAGTCCCAGTATGTGTCGGCCATAACTTTACTACAATCTCTTTTAGCGGCAGGGGGCGCAACGAAGCAATAAAACACACAATATTGTTAAAGAATTTACCAGAAAAAATTTGTATATTTTAAGCTAAGAGTATCAGTTTCTAAAATATGTCAAAATGCATAATAAGTTGCTGGCATTAAATATGTGATTTAAGATATTGTATAGAAATGCAAAATACAAAATTTTTTGCATTAAATTTTAATTAAAAATTACATTAGATCATACGTTGAAAAATAAGAAGAAACACTTTTCCAATAGAAACCTCACACACAAGAACTATTTTCTATTGACTACAAGAGCAGTAGGGCATAAACAAATTTACTTTATTTAAACACAAATATGTGGCACAAGTTACGGCATATTTTAATTTCAAAATTGAGTCCATAAAATGCTTAACACATCGTTGACAAATTGCCAAAGGCAGGACCAAATGAAACGGATGTCAACACACGAGTATTTACTTCAATTTATTTCACTGCCAGCTTAGTTTATCATTTCACTTTTTGGTTTATAACTGGTTCACCATTTTATTAAATTTTCCGTATAACATTTTTAGACAAAAATTGATTTATGGTCTAGCATATGCTACATTTATTAAATTTATATTTACGCACTATATAGTAGTTCCTGATGGAATTTTATTTATTATCACGTTGACATCAGATGTGTTATAATGTCAATTCTATTTGAATAATAATTCTTGTGAAACAAATTTTCTTGCTAAGATTTCTGTCTGAAAGAGAGAGTCCGCTCTGGCTTAGGTTCAAGATTTATTCTATTTTGGGATCTGCCTTTTTCCCGTCAAGTAACCACAGCAATGTGCAATTGTGCGAGGAATTTTTAATGAAATATTTAACAAACGCCCCAAAAAAAAAGGGACAAAGAAAGGAGGGAAAAAACGTACCGTTTGGATAGGACCAGTCTGTCTGGCAGCCACATTGGCTTTTATGACATGCCAACAACAACCGCTTTTCATTTTATAGAATAAGTTGTCAAGGTGCACAGACTGACTGATATTTTTATACTTTTTAATGCTCATACCTAGGCCTTAACAATAGTAGTAAGTCATCATTTTTGTGTTCATTTGTGACACATTAAAATACAATTTTTAGATAGCTGCTAACCATTTCTTGCCCGATAGATTCATATATATTTAGTTTATACCTGGTGGAAATTGGGTAAAAGGTTAACTCTTTTTGGGGTGGACAAATAGATCTTTCCGTTTGTTAAGTCGAGATTTCTTTCAAAACTTTTAGCCTATTTTATAATGCCTCTCGCAATAAAGGACAATGGTTGTTGGATTGGATATAGTTTTCCAATTTTTATAATTTTTGTACTTTTCTTAGGTATAATCTTCAACTAAGGTAATAAGCGAAGAGAATACCCATAAAATACACTCTCTTGAAATTTTTCTATAACATTTTTGGTACTGCTGGTGCGGTTTTTTCCCTGTAAGCATAACAAGCAACAGATCGCGTCAGTGACCGACTTCATTATTTCGACTAAATCCCCAAAGCCAAAAGAAAAAAGTGTTTGAAAGCACAAATAGGTAGAGTGGGTCCTTGTATATTCGGTTGCACGGCGCCTTTGTTGCCTGCTGTCCAGCTCCTTCGACTGCTGTCCGTTTGTGTCGCGAAAAACTTCGGTGTCCTAATCTGCTGCCTGACTTGCATACTAATTTGTTTGCTCTGCGGCGCCCACCCACTACGAGGGCCTCGTACACCTCTCC